TTGTCCCAAGAGCCATCTGGGTACAAAAGCTTGACCAGATAGGACTTAATACATGACAGAATGCATGAAATCCAGTTGTGGGGGCACTATGGGGGACACAGATGGGGAGGGGTCTAAATCGGATTAAGATCTATTATGTGAAATTCAAACAAACTCAGTAAAATATTTTTAAAAAGAAAACATTACCATCCATTAGTTATAATCCATAGTTATACCAACATAGAAATTAGACATTGGTTTGAAGTGTCAAACAAATCAGTTAAAGTGGAGTTCTAGCAAAAAAGTGCTGAAAATAAATACTTAATTATCAGAAATCACAACTCCTTGTGAAAACATTACACGTCTTAGGCGTCACTATTTGGAGTAATTGGGTCACAGCACACCTATGTAAAAGTCTGCTTAAAGTTTATACCATTCGGAGTATTCTTCACTCTCTTTTAGACTGTTTGGGCATATTTCAAGAGCACTTACTGGAAAGTATCTGCTTATTCAAAGCTTTTAGCCAGAAGAAAATAAAAGGCATTAGTTCTTACCGTTTCCTGTGATGAAGCTGGAATTGCCTGGCTCTCAAACTCCATAGCCAAAAGGGCAATTTGTCTGCTTCAAATAATGTCCACCTTTTACATGCCTGCTATAATGATGGGAAGCCGCAGTGTGGCTTCTAAGTCTAGATGTCACAAGAATTTCACCAGAGTCACTCTATGCAAAAGTACAAAAGCAACTTCCAACGTTCCCAATGTCTATATTTTAGCAGTTTGTCAGATCAAATATTGCCCCATTTGTTTATGTAGTTTCTTAATTAAAATCCTTTTTATGGAATGGCAGTTAGGACATTTTTGTTCCCACCTATGCAAACAATGTCTTATTGATTAAGTCATGAAATTGAGCAAAATACAAAATCTTTACATATATTTAAGTCATTCAGCTCTGATTAAGAAATGAACCTCTTCAGAAAAACAAAAGCAAAATGCAAATGATTATAATGATAAAACAGTTACACGAAATCAGGAAAAAATCAGGTTTCCTTCTTCCCAGGAGACAGCTGTGGGAGCAGTGGACGGGGGCAGCCCATGGCACCAGCTGTCCCTTCTCTGGCCATCTCTGACATGTGCTCTGGCTGAGTGCATTCTGTGTCCTTGGGCTCCCGATGTGCTGCTTGCCGGGCGGGGGGCATGGCTGGCTGTAGTGGTCTGTGCTTCCCTGCTTGGGAGGACTGAGTGCAGTGGGTTGCTGGCAATTCCATGGTGGAGCTAAGTGTCATGCTTGAGGACATCTGGTTGTGGGCTAAGAAAGTGTTTCATTTGCAGCAATCCCAGCCAAAGAATGTCTGCAGTTGCTCCCCGATTCCACCCAACTTTCCATAATTTACCTCTTAGTATTTATCCACAAACTACCATCAGCCTCCTCCCAGAGCTGCATAGTATCCTGAATTGATCACCTGAAGGAAGTGACCACTAAGCTCCCCTTTGTCTGTTTTTCCAAATGTGGAGCTTTTGACATGTCTGACTAAAGCCTTTTCCCCATAACTGGTCCTTCTCTGATATTTGCTGTGAGTTCTAGAAGCAGCATAGCTCAGAGACCTCTGTCTCCTGTAGCTAAGGACTCAGATCAGAGCTGATCAATATCCTTCTCTGACTGAACCACAGCTAAAAGTCAAGAAAAGGGAGGAGCTTCCCAGTGTCCAGTAGCAGACTCCTGGATCCCGTTGGACTGACGCTGTGCTCAGCTCTGAGGCAAGTGTCAATTGTTTTCTCTCATAATCAAACTTTTGAGAGAGATGCCCCGGCTTAGGCAACTCCAACAGGCTAGATTTGCTTCCTGTCCCAGGACACCAGTTAAAGGAGTGAGTAAATGTCCTGCTTGGGGCTGAGCAGAGCATCACCTCTTACCCTCTGTTACAGTTGATAGCTGCTGGGAGAGGGTGACTTGGTTTTCTTTAAGGGGATAGACCCACACCAAAGAGTTTCTGCACAACACAAACTGGTCTCCATGGACTTTATAAAAAATGAAGGAAGACACAAAGTAGGTGGATATGTTGAGAGTGGATCTGGGAGGGGACGTTGAAGATGATAGATCAGATAAAAATACTTTGTATGAAATTCTCAAATAGCTAATAAAATACTATTTTAAAAAAACTTTTCAGAGTTTTTAAGCAGATGACTTGTTTAAATTATATGTTTTGTTGAAAAAAGTCATAAATTCTTGGACACCGTTCATGAAAAGTGCTGTTTTGATATTATTTAGAATTTTCTGGTGTTGCAGTTGTGTTGGCTACATTCTTTAACAGGAAGCATGCCATGTGCATATATGAATGTTTTAAGGAAAATACATATATAGAATGGGATGAGTTACGTTGGAACAGATTAGTACAGGCCCAGGTTCCAGCAATAGTGTCTGATAGGACACCTGTTGTGGTCATTTGTGACAACAGACAGACAACTGTCCTCTCAGCCCTCCCTCTGCATAGAGAAGTGCTGCTTGTCATGGTGCCTGTCCTCCAAAGGGCCAAATGTTGCCTTGGGAATTTGTAGATAGACTTGAATTGTAATGTTTAGGCAAATGCAGGTATATATGTCTATGCTGAGAGTTCATTATCTGAAGGCTAGTCTTACAGAGTACTGAACACAATTAACTTAATCTTTCAAAAAATGTCTTTATGCATATGTATTAGTCAGTTTTCTGTTGCTGTGATAGAAACACTGACCAAAACAGCTTATAAAAGGAAGTGTTTATTCGAGCTTATGGTTCCAGGGGAATTACAGGCCGTCATGGCAGGGAGGCATGGTGGCTGGAGGTGGCTGGAGCAGGAGCAGCAGAAGCTAAGCTCTCACATCATCACACAGGCACAGGAAGCAAGAGAGCGACTGGAGATCCAGCAAGGCTAAGCCCACCCCCAGTGACATGCTTCCTCCAGGATAGCCACACCTTCCAAACCTCCCAAAACAGCGCCACCATCTGGGCACAAAATGTCCAAATACTTGGAGCCTATGGGGGACATTTTCGTAAATCGTAAACATTAAAAAAGAAGCAATGTATAACTGCAAAAAGCAGAGAGATATTCACTCCATGTCTGAAGAAGAGGAACAATCAAAGGGGTTCATTTATCTCATTTATTTGGGGGTGCCGACATGAGGTTTTGAGTTAAATAGAGAAAATCCTGGGCCGTGGGAAGTGGTCATTATCCTAGCTCTGCTCCTGCAAGGTTGTCTGAAGGGGTTGCTGTCCCTGTCATCGCTGCATGAGCTCCATCGGGTCCCTGTGAGGTGATGGCTTCTGACTGAAAATACAAGTTCATGCTCATGGATAAGTCACTCAGGTTCAGAGGTCTTCTGTGAGAGTTTAATATCCGGGAATCTGAGGGACTTCAGGCTTAGGACAACTGACTTGTGAAGGGATGAGATAGGCAGGGTAGATAGGCATTCCTTGAGGGGAACTTGCCTACACAGAATCAAGCAGAAGTCTTGCTGAATTAATGGAGACAGGCATGGGATGGGGGCAGAGGCACCAGGCTTCCACTTACTTGCCTTGGGGGCCAAGTGAAGTCAGTGCATTTAGCACAAACAGCTTCTAGGCAACTGTCAAACTCTGCCTAGTCTTTTCTCTTGGCTCCTCGACCTTCAGGCCACACACTGCTTGTCCCATACACTGGAACATTTGTGTCTCTCCCTTCACTCTTCTCTCCAACTTTCTGAATTCTGGTGTGTTTGTTTGACGATTGTTAGTCCCTTTTTGAAACTGGAGTTCAGGTACTGGACAGCGACACTGTCATTAAGAGGAGACACTGTCCAGCTGCTTGGACTGGATCCCTGGGAGATGAAAACCATCACTGTGTGTTGCTAGTCTGTCTCCTCATGGCTTGGCTTTTACATTTTCTCCTTAATTTTTATGTGGTATTTTTAAAGATCACATGTGGAATTTTTAATTCTCGCCAGAATAAAATGAGCTCAAAAGTGGATTGCTATATTTAACATATATTGAAGGTTCAAAACCTGCTATTTATAGGCCACATACATAAGAGAGTCTTATCAATAAAAAAGGTCAATGTAAAACTGACTTTGGTCTTACTTTAGTCTGGAAGTTTTTCCAGTGCTGATGAGAAACCAGAGTATGTAGGAATGAACTATCCACAGTCTTTTATTTCCTGTCCTTGACCAATTGCAGGTCTCTGTGTTAATCACCATCAACTGAAAAAACATTCTCTGAGGAGAGTTGAGAAATTCACCAACCTATGGATATGAGGAAAATTCATTAAGACTGGTTTAATACTATGTCTACTTAGCAGAATGACCTATCTAGCCATGGGGTCTTGGCCCAGATTTCAGTAGGAACATTGTTGCTCCTGATAGGTAACCCCTTTTAGACACATTTTGCATATGTGTATGTGTACATTTTAGGGTTTTCTGCAGTTTTTCCATATTAGGGTTCAAAAGGACTTTAGTGTTGGTTACCCCTCCCTATGTTCCCTTCTCTACTGGATGACAGCCCACACCCCATGCCAAAACCCTTCCTGTTCTGTTATCCCACATCCCATTTTAAAAATCGGGTTGTTTTATTCCTTGTTGTTTAGGTTTTTCAGTCCTTTATATATTTGAGAGCCTTACCATCTGTCAGATGTTTGACACTATAAGTTTTTCCCCATTCTGCAGTCTGAACGTTTACTCCATCGATGGAGTCCTTTATTGGACAGAGGAATTTATTTTAGTGACATGAAGTTCCATTTACACTTGTTGGTCTTAATGCCTATGCCATTGGGTTCCTGTTTAGAAAGTCTATTCCTGTGCCTATGAGTTCCAGTGTATCACCTAATTTCTCTCTGTCTGATTCACTGTATCAGGTCCTATGGCGTTCTTCAAACACTGGGAATTTAGTTTTGTGCCTGGAGAGAGATACGGATCCAGTTTCATTCCTCTACATGTAGCTATCCAGTTTGAGTAGCGCCATTTGTTGAGAATGTTTTTCATTCTCCGACACGTATCATTGTCCTTTTTGTCATACATCAGGTTGTCGCAGGAATGTGGGATTTTATGTGGCTCCATATTCCATGACATCACTAACTGAGACACTGAAAACAAGACCCCACAAAACTCAGGAATCAAACCTGCAGCAGAGGTAGAGGAAAGACTGTGTGAGCCAGAGGTACTGGATGACTACGAGGAAACAGTGTATCCTGGATAGCACAGGAAAGGTGCATACGTGATCTCATAGCACTTCTGAAAACAGGTAAAAAACACAAAAACTCAAGCCAGAAAAAGTTGGAGCATGGCAAGTGAATGTGGGCACAAAGCAGCACTCCTCGCTGAGGACCCACTCACAGTAGCTTCTGGGAGAGGGGGAGTCAGGTTTGCTTTTTACAGTTGTGGAGTTCGGTAGGTTGACAACTCTCTAGCAGATAGCTGCACACTACAGATTATGTAGACAGCATGAATTGGATGTTTTATTAAAAGAGAACACAAAGTTGGGTGTGCTGGGAAGGGTGGGTCTGAGAGGACTTGAGGCAGAAATAGTATAGCATAATACATTATCTGTAATCTCAAAGAACTAATTAAAAAGGAGGAAGAAAAAAGGAAAGAAAAAAAACTGTAACAGAAGTCAAGCTTGATGGTTCCACTTCCTTTATAAAACTTTCTTCCAGGCATGAGTGGAGACACACACCTTTAATCCTAGCTCTGTAGTCAGAGGCCAGCCTGGTCTACATAGTGAGATCCAGGCTATCTGGGGCTACAGGGAAACCCAAACCAAAACAAAACAAAACAAAATAACCTTGCTAAACCTCCTAGACATTTAGGATTACATGTCTACGTTATTATTATTATATGTTACAAGAGGAACACAAAATGTATATTTCTGTGCTATTAAAGTGTTTAATTTTCAAATTGATATAACTTGTTCCATTCATAATTATAAATGCTCTTTTAAAATATATAGACACAGGAACTTTGAGATGTATCAAACTACTCCAGTAGATTAAGAATTCCTTAGGTCCGTCACACATTTGGTTATTTGGATCTTAGTGTCCTACTTCATTACTAGACTCCAAAGGGCAGTTCAAATCTGAGTCATGGTATGCCCAGTTAGCTGAAATTATTCAAAGAATTATTTTTTTCTCCTTCTGTCTATTAGCTATGGAATTACAAATAAAGCATTTATTTTACTTTTCTTTTGCAATATGGGATCACTAAGTAACCTCAGCCTCCCTAGAGCTAGAAACACAGGTGTCTGCCTCCTCATCCTGCAAGGGAGCAGTGGAGATGTGCTTTGGAGAAACTTTTGCAATATGGGATCACTAAGTAACCTCAGCCTCCCTAGAGCTAGAAACTCCCTAGAGCTGAATGCATTAGTTACCCTTCTCACCCAGGAAACGTGTTCTTGAAAATGTGCAGGGATTGTGGCACCCCTGGTAGGGGACGTTTGCAGACCATCCACCTACATTAGCACATAGAGTACTGGAATTACAAGTTACCACACCAGATTTTTACATGGGTTTTGGGTACTGAACTCAGATCCTCATGTGTGGCATGCACTTTACCCAGTGAACTATCTCTCCAGAACTTACCTTATAATTTTTGAGAAACTTTCATACTCTGACATCAGTACCAACTAAGATGTACCCAAGGCTGCAACCTCTTATTTTAGCTGTAAGACTTTGTTAGGGCTTCCTTTTAGTTTCAAGTAGTGATGATGCAATTAAAGGGCAAGCCCCTTTGTGCATGCATCCTAATGAGAAGTCATAGGCCAGCTCCTTCTGGAGTCAGTGGGTGGGTGGAATGTTCACCGTGGCCCAGACTGGATCAGCAAGTGATTAGCCCTCCTTAGTGGCTCTAGATTAAAGCTGTATTTTGGACAGCCTTTAAAGTAAAACTCCCACTCCATTTCAAAATGTACCAAAAGGTAATAATGAAAAATAAGCGATTTTAAGGGTCACTAACTATGAAATTCAGAAGTGATTCTGTAGAAATTTTGTAATTAAGAATATACTTTTATTCACAATAGTTGGTTACAGTGTCAGTAATAACCTGATCAGCACAGGTGAGTCAGACCCTGTCTTTGTTCCCGTAAACTCAGAAAAGGCTTATTTTAATGTGACTGTCAAAAAGGAACACAGAATGCCAGGCAAAAGCACAATTAGCAATTAATTTAAAGTAATCAAAGTGTACTAGCCCTTGTCAAGGGAGCAGTTTTATTTTTGCTGCTGCCTTCAGTAATCACAGACCAGTGCATCGGTTAAAAGCCAGGCTGGTTGGCTCTTGGCTGCCCGCTCGCTGTTTTACCCTGTCTCCTTTGCCAGCATGCACATTTAATGGCATCCCATTCGCATCTGCTCTTTGTAATTTAGCGATTATTTGAACACTTTGTGATTCCTTGTTTATTTTTAAACACAAGGCAGGGGCAGGTAAGATGACACTGTAGGTAGTGTGCCATCAAGTCTGATGACATGAGTTTAATCCCTGGAACCCCACAGTGGGAGGAAAGGACCTAATCTCACAAGTTGTCCTCCACAGGTATGCTGCAACACACACACAAAATAAATTTAAAAGTAAAACCACAATAAAGCATAATTTGAGTGGGCAATGTGGATTTCTAAGTTTCTTTCCACAGGTTCCACAAAAATAGATGTCACCACCTTAAAAGTGTCAAACATCTAAAAGCCTCTCAAAGTCTTTTACAAGTTCCTTCACCCTTAGGTCCTGTAGCATACCTTTGTCTAGCACTTAGGATCCCGAGGCAGGAGGATTGTGAGATTGGGGATGATACCCATCATAAAACAAAGTCAAGACTAGCCCAATTGTATGGTGAAATCTGGACTCAAATAGAAAATAAATGAACTAACCAATCGACCAATAACTATAAATTCATAGATGCTCCTTGCTTTTTTAAAAATGCCGGTCCAGTGTTGACTATGTTTTCCCTTTCCAGAGATAATATTTGGCTTATTGGGTTAATCACAAGCACCAGTCATAGGTAAGTTCCTCTTTCACCCTTTTTTTAAAAAAAACCTGATTTTATTTTAGTTGTCCCTTTCCCCCCCTCAGTATTGCACACTGGGTGACCAGTTGTATGACCACCCAGGAATACTGCATGGCTGTTGGGTATATAGGCCGGAAAATATGACTTCAAAGCTCTGCATAAGAAGCCTCAGCTAAATGCTTTCTAACATTTAAATACATGGGGATCAAAACCAAGGATTTACATCTTAATGTGCAATTCAGTGGCAGAGAGTGTTGAGTTCAGGTGCATGTAGGTGAGGTTTACAGTGGATGTCTATGTATCCTCTCTTATATACTCACTTATTTGATGTTCCAAAATGGGAAGACTATTTACATTTCCTACAGCTACTCTGAGAGACGTGGTTTCATCCACATGGTCAGGGGTATTTCCCTATATGCATTGATGGAATGTTTTCCTGCCTGCTTTAGGGTTCAACACTTGATTGATTTCTATCAGGCAGGCTCACACACAGAGAGACCAATACCATCTTCTAATTTTATTTGAATCAATGACTGTGAAAAGCCAGGGGCTTGATAGAGGTGAAATTACCCTTGGAAGCCAGTAGAAAAGCATTTACCTAGCATTATGAACAATTTTGTGTGTTAGCTGAAAGGCTGGCATTCCGACTGGGGAGTCTTCAGAGCTGAAAAGTCACTGTGTCAATATCCCTCACCCTCTTCTTTTGATAACTTTCAGGATGATCTGCTACCATGAGCTGTCTGGGTAGAAAATGATTGTGAGCTAAGAGTGGGGTTTGCACAGGAGCTTGTGTGATGCTGCCGCGTGTCCTGCCTCTCAGTACAGGCTAGGACCCCTTGAAACTGCATCCACAGTAATTCATGGTGTTAGAAAGAGAATTTGTTTTTGTAACTGAAGAATAAAAATGTGTCGGTTTGTCAGTTAATGACCTCAGCACACATTCTCCTCCACAGCCTGCAGCTGTCTGCTGACACAATGATGATACATGAATATGGTTTCCGTAAAGTATTCAGTGAGCTTCTCTCCTGGATGACACGGAGGTGAAAAGGTGGCATTTTCTGGCAGTTATTCAAAGAAAAGGAATGTGTGCGTGGCAGGGCTCTGAACCACGACTCATCATGTCCTACTGTGTTTTGTTAGTCAGCTTCTTTATTCCTGAGATAAACGCTCTGTCCAAAGCCAACATGGGAAGGAAAGGGTTTATTTCAGTTCACAGTGCAGTCCTCCATTGAGAGAGAGAAACTAGGGTACTAGGTTGACACAGGGACCTGGGGGCAGGGACCTGGGGGCAGGGACCTGGGGGCAGGGGCCTGGGGGCAGGAGCTGAATCACAACCATGGAGGAACTCTGCTTACTGGCCTGCTCCTGTGGTCTGTGATCAGTCCACTTTCTTATACAACCAAAGACCAGCTTCCCGGGGCTGTCAGCACCCATACTGGGCTGAGCCCTCCTGCATCACTCAAAAATCAAGAAAATGCCTCACAGACATGGCCACAGACCAATCCGTTAAAAGAAAGACCCCAGCTATGTCAAGTTCACAATGAAACCATTTAGCACATTGCCCATTTAGCAACAAACACATCATCTTAAACCACAAGCTATAT